GCTGCCATCTAAATCAATCATTCTTGCTTATGGATTATTATCATAATTAGGATTAAAGTGAAGTCTTGTATCCAATAGTTGACCTTTATAGAGCCACATATAAATTTGGTATAGTTTTTTGCTTTCATTGTCAAATGCTGTATAATTACGTTAAAAAAATAGATAAATTATTGATTATGAAGAAAATATTTTGATTCATATAACGCCAAATCCTAATATTAATCCCTATTAGGGAAGTATTCAAAACTTTGAGATAGTCACTTATTACTAGTAATATTCATAATAAACTATTACCATGGTAAATAGGAAAGCCACTTTGATATATTGCTAAACTTAATGTCGGATGAATGCAATACAGTTTTAAATAGACAGCATCACCTGTGCCATTTTATAACTAATAAATATCGCCTTCATCATAGAATTTATTGCAAGACAATCTTCTATTTTCCTGTTCATTATTTCTCTCGCAAAATATAGCCCTATGAACGCTTGAAGAAAGAGCTCCAATTTAATTTTAGTTTCCGCTATTGTAAATAGGTTCTTGATCACAATAGCACGTAGTCATTTGTACTCGGAATATCCTTACGCTGAAATGGCGCCGATTTTCGATCATAATCGAAAGGTCGTCTCTTTATGATAGGATAAATTCATTTAATACTAAATGAAATGATTGAAATGAATGATACGATATTTAATTATACTCACTTTCAAAGGGTATTATGAATGTAATTCATCAATACCGATATTTTTTTCAATTGATTTGAAATCAGTATGAGTATCTTTGATTAGATTTAAAAACATTTCAAGTAGAATAGTCGATTCTCTCTAACTACAGCAATCTATTCTTGGCGTTTAGACGTAATTGCATGTAGATTGATTTGAATGGCAGGTATAGACATATCACAAAGTCATAGTGATAATCATAATATCGTTGATAGACATCGTCTTGTCTTCAATGTCGCCTCTATTAAAAAATGTTCAAGTAATGTCAAATTAATTTGTCATTAAAGAATGTCAAGTTATCAAAAATTCTATCGTTTCCAATCATGGACATTACCCTTATTAATTATTCTTGTTTACATTTTTATGATGATAAATTCAACTAATAATACGACCTGATAATCTTGGAAAAATGATAAAGTACGAGATTGTCAAATGTTACTACACCGACGATGGCTACTTTAAAATTAAAATTAGATCTTGATATCGATATGAAATGCTTTGCAATTATTTTGTAACATTTCTCCTTATAGTATAGACGTAATCTAAATTTTACCTTCTTTTAATTTACAGTACTCAAAATCTGATCTTGAGTAATGCATGCTAAAAGAGAGTATCTCTAGGATTAAATTTAAAACATTTATTATTTCATTCAATCATTTATTCATTTTATTCACAGATTGATGGAAAAATAGATCATTCTTTAGATTTTTAATATTATCTCTAAGAAATTGTTTATGAAATGATTGACAATTATCTTTTCGCCAGTAAAATGATCAAAATTTCATCACATACAGGACAGGTACTGTTAGCTTGTAATAAGCAAGAAATAAATAATACCCAATATTTAGTAGTATGTATCCTTTTAAAACTAGAGAAATAAATATAAATTTATTAGTCAATTAAACGACTCATCATGATGAAAATTAAAACTATCATACCAAATTGTTTTATTATTTTAAGTTATCCACTATTATAAATATTTAAATGAGAGCATATTCTGATAACAATCTTCGCGTATTACTCTTTCTTAAAGCTATTAAAGTTAAACAACGATTTATTAAGTGGCGGTCCTTCTCTATTTTTACATCAGTCTACGGAAGCTTGCGATATTGTAATACATTCTTTTGTCACCTTGTCTATAAAGACAGGTCGGTAAAAATAATTGACGTCAATAAACGAGTCTTTATTGTGTTCATAATATTAATTTCCTTTTTATTTTCTTGTTTGTTAAGTTTCTCCTAACTTACTCATTGAATGATCTCTCAATATCCATGAAAGAGATTTTTTCATTCTATGGTGATTCAACGCCTATGCTGTTTAATCAATGCTATGTAGAACTATAAACTATAAAATAGACGCCAACTGATTTAGAAATTACTCTCTGGAAAATTGACATCAAAGACCACAAACTAAGAAGGTAAGAGAAAATATATAGTTGTCATTAAACTTTAGACATCAATTCCTGTACTACAAGCATGATTATTAGAAACTTCGTAAAGAAATTCTTTAACAGTATCATTCAATTTTGGGTAAATTCTACTTATTAAAAGAGTTTTACGTTCAAGACTAGAAAATTGTCGTCAATCTTGTAGCAGAATAAATCTTTATTAATTTATGCTATTATATTCAATATTCCGTTAAAACTGCTTTGCTAAAATAAATCAGTAATATATAAAATGGAAAACATAGCTTTATTTATAGTTACTTCTTACAATTTTAAAAAATTTTCTACTAGTTTTCCCGATAGAACTCGGAAATACGGTATTGGAGGGCTTATTTAAATCACGACTACACTTTACCATTTTCTTAATAATTCACAGAAACTTAATTGATACCTACAACATGAAATATTTTCTCTGAGTTATTCTATAATTATGATATAAAGCCTTTTGCGTTATCAAAAGCTTTAGCTTGCATTAATTTATGCCTACGGTATTAGCCGATCATAGCCCATTTTGATCGTCTATAACCAAATTTCTAAAATATTCAAGCCGTCGATATCGAACCAAAACAAAATACCAGCAAATTGCTTTAACTTTAAAAGATAATTTAGATTCCTTCGCTGATAATGAGATTATCTACTTGTAAGTTTGAAGCAAGCGTTATACAGTATACTGTACTGTACAATCGTTTCTTCAGCATAGGGATGCCTTTTAAAAGGATTTTAAATTTAGTACCCAATTGTAAGTGTTTACATCTTGGCAGGTAATTCATTAATTATAGAAATACGGTATCAACGTTACTGACTTGATTATACTGTACATCGTAAATTAAATAGACATAAACAGGATTTTATTAATTGTAACGGATATAATTAAATGGTCTTTACTTTGCACATCGGAAACTTCAGTTTTAATTTACATAAACGAATTTATCATTACCCTAGCAATGATTTCTTAGTTAAGATGAAATGAAAAACTCGGAGACTTTTAAGCACCGTTATTACGTCAGCAATTGCTGGTATTGTTCTAAGCACCCTTTGATAAGTCAATTTTTTATGTATTACAGTATTACAATAGCTTTCGATTTAGAAGCTTTAGAGAGGGTATATCAGTTTTTTAAATAAAAACTCTTTAGTATAAAACTGGTACTATCCATCCTTAATTTATTCGTTTTCGTAAGAAGCTAAAATTAAACGTCTTTTCGAGTAAGTTAAAAATTTAAAGGTTTAAATTAAATCAATTAGAATTGATGGAGGACAACCATCACTAGCTTTATATAAATTGTGTAGTATACGTATAAATAATCTGATTTATCATTACCCCTTTCCTCTAAAAAATGGAATCAAATTGTCCTCACCTATCAAAACATTCCGAACCATGTGTAGTGACTATATTATTATATATATTACTATAGGTTTCTTTTTTATTAATTACACCCTGTTTATGATTAAACAATGTATTTAATTTAAAACATGAATAGATTTATCATCTTTAACGATAGTGTAGTATTTATAAATAGAATGTTACTGCCCCCTTCATTAGTAGCCACCCAACTATCTGATTTTCAGATTTCTTCAATATTGTACGGATGCTTACTGTTAAATGAAGTATACTATAATTATAAATTGAGTCCATATATATATATATCTTATACTGGTGAATTATCGGTATCAATTATTATATTAAGGAACAAATAAATAAATCGTCGGGCATTCAAAACATAGAGTGTAGATAGCTTTTGAGTAAAGTAGAAATCAACCATCTAGTTCCGATACAATTAAATAGGTTAATAGGTTTCTTAAAGTAATCTTGCAATTGTAAAATACATGTACGTATTATCTCACAATTTTATAAGCCAGATAAGATAACAAGTTAAATTTGGATAAATCCTATTTCCATGTATGTTCGATCTTACAAGACATTTTGTGTCAAAATTGATATACGACCTTTTATAGTTATCTTCGTCTAACTTTAGTCTTTCGACAATTTTACTTTTAATTTAAAAATTACATTATAAATGGTGCATTTTCGCTAATAATAAGCGAAATGTGTCAGCTGAATAATTGCTTATTTATTATGAAGATAA